TAACCATTGTGTCTTGCCCAGGAACCATGGCCTGGCAGCTGGACTCTAGCATTGATCCGTATCTATATTTACTAGGCCCCCGTAATGTTTAAGGCCTGTAATTTTACTGCTTGACCAGTATTTTTACGTCAAAACATGTTACGGATAGCCCGTAAATATACGGGGAAGTCCTGGAAACCAGCTGCCAGGACTTTTCCCGTAAAAATTTACAGTAAATTTTTACAGTGTGTAGAACCGCCGACGTTCCTTAAGCTAGCTGGATAGCTTACTCACATGGACAAATCCAAAGTCCGTGTCGGGATTCGAATCTACAACGGTGAGGGCCAAGTGGTTAGATGGTAAATAATCATACATTGTATTGCTGTGCATGATATTGCAGTGGATATAGCATAATAGTGTATCGCTTTGTATCGTTCAGATGTATTATATATATTTTACTTGTTTAGACCCGCATTGACTTTTGTAGATCGTCTGTGGTAGGTTGGCGTATTGCACTGGGGAGGTCAACATACACAGCTAAAATATGTCAAAAAGTCTCATGAAAACATCGTTCACAAAGATTAATTGAGAGCATTTCTTTTTCATCAATAAAATAAATGATCAGTTGTAAGCTAATGCTTACAGACACTCAGTATTTTCAGTCTCTGTCGTATTTTTGTTTCCATATTAGAAGTTTTCTAACAGTTTTATTCTCAATAACGTTTATTTTATCATTCATTGAAACGTAGCGTCTATCTGCATAAACAAAATGGTTCCTCAACGCTTTTAAGAAAAATTAAAACGTCTTAATGTACAGACTCAATCAAACCGAGTCTGCAATTTTCATGTAATTTTGTTGTGATTAATGCCTCCGAGTGATCACATTGTTTCCAGATGTTAAAAAGTTACAGTCGCTTAAACGTCGCTCTCTTTGTGAGCTGTTTTTATAGTTTATTCATTTTTATAGCATCGGTAAATATGACAAATATCAAAAGAAATTAGAAATATAAAAACGTTCCTTTTGATAATCCTTTGCTATTGTTAAATATATAAATAGGTAGAAAGTAAATAAGGCACGAGCTAATCGAATTTACAAAAAATCATCAGAATAAAACGGTCGTATAACCTGATATTTTATTATGAACGTTAAAGAAAATCCTAACAAAACTGACGGAATTGCTCCCCCACAACCCCATCCCCTAACAAATAGACTAGTCTTCTGGCTTTTAAATAGGCACATGGATTTACGGTACGAAACACGTATTCAAATTTTGAATTTCAAAATATTATGTATGTATTTCATCCGTATAAAGTTACCTTGTATCATCTGAAAAAAATCAAGATGGAATGAATTAGGATATACAATTATTATCACCTCGTCTTTATCACAGACAGTCACATTGCTGCACTCCTTGGGATCTATAATGGCATCGCAGTTAAAGCAGTATGGACCTCGCTGAGTTAGAGAAATCTCTACAGTATAATGGAAATAATATATATAAGAAAAAGGTTAGTTCGATGTGAAAGAAATATGAAATATTAAACAGTTCATGAGAATATATGGTATAGATAAAATGGTAAAATCAATTACAAATTGTAATTCAGTGAAATTTTCTAAGTGATAACAAAATTATAAGCAGATTTGATTATATAATTATGTAATGTTAGTTACAATAGATTCAGTAACTTAATGGGTCTGTTTTGGTACCTTTTTCACCACAGCCATGATGATTGCAAAAGCTATTCGCACAACACTCTAAACACACCGTGATTTCATTTCGTCTTTTACTTAGTGACCTTTTCCCAAAGATCATAGGAGAACAGCGCTGAAATGTATAAGTGATTACAATAAAATTAAAACTTTCGCTGATATTGATCAATCTACAGAAAGTCATGTTTCAAATACTATTAAAAGTGGCTGATCTACGCAGACTTATTATGCAATGCAGAAAAGTTTGTTTTATCGCGTGTCATTAATTGTCTAAATACAAAGTAAATTTCAATGTTATAATTTAGGATGGCGAACAGGGCGGAGGCAAGATTTTTAGAAATGTCGTAACTGTAATGTCTATTAGACTAAATGTCTTGTTCCTGTTTCAGTGGCTGTCTCACCATGTATCGGAATATATGTATGTTTACGAGAAAACTCTCAATTGAATGAAGCTTTATTTTTACATTTTTTGTAATATTATTAACTTGTAATTACGTTGCAATTATTTCAATTTGTAATGATACTTTTGTTTGTAACCATACCGTGTTGCTGATACAGCCGATATTAAATACAAGACTTCCATCATGTGACAATATTTGCTCTGTGAAACATTGCTGAAAAGTGTACAATTGTAAAGAGATAGTGTCAGTGTAGGTGAATAAGGTGACCACGTGACACTTGTTGAAGATCCTTTACCTCAATTTTTTATGGTTTTATATCATAAATATATTTCTCAAATGAAGATTTATCAATATTGTAAGTTCCAAAAAGCATCATTTGTAAAGATATTACCAAATTACATTTAGTATTAATAAAGGGAGGTAATTAGATGTTTATTTTCTATAAAGTCTAAATCAAAATTTTCAACAACAAAATGAATGCATATTATCATTTTAATGATTACATATAATGTGGACAAATATTTGCAGTACATATTTTACATATTCTTCGATGTTTTGAAATTGTTTTAGAAGCATAATTATGAACATATATAAAACTTCACTTAAGTGTGGTAACAACTTTAATTACAACATACAGGATCTTCAACAGTAACTTTAGGATTGTTCTTCTAATATCTATTTGAGCCGTGTCACGACAAAACAAACATAATGGGTTTGCGACCAGCATAGATCCAGACCAGCCTGCGCATCCGCGCGGTCTGATCAGGATCCATGCTGTTCGCTTACCAACCCTATTACATGTAGGGAAACTGATAGCGAACAGCATGGATCCTGATAAATATTTGGATCTAGGCAAATATTTTTCCGATTCCAGTGGTACATATATTTCCATTGTATTTTTTGTATGTATCCCTTTATGCTTGCAGATATAAACATTAATAGTATAAAAATGGATATATGAAAATACATCATTTTGTGTCAACAAATTGATAAATATATAAAATAAAATCAAAAATTCATCTAATATATTATATTAATGAAACATTACCTCATTTGTGTTGCACTCAGTAATCTGAGTACAGTCACGTGGTGAGGAAATATTCTGGCAATCAAAGCACCGCAAGGCATGACCTAATAAAAACATGCGATAGTTGTCAAATAAGTGTCAATTGTACGTATTATACTTTGAAATAGTAATATTGGACAATGAGTTCTAGACATCTACAAAATGTTATTGATTTATATACGAATTACCAAACATAATGCTAACAAAATGAATGGTGTTAATCAGAAAGAGTCATGTATGACTTTCTTAGTATTTAAGACGTACTAGTTTGATGGTACCAAACATCAATGTTGACAGTGTGATTGTAATATATGATGATACTTTTTCAAAACTATATACAACAGTGTGGGTACCTATTCGGTTGACCAGAATAGAGTTCTCAGCCGACTCTTCAAAACGGGTCTCAATAAATCTACCTTGTCTAAAAATTAAGCATTCAAGAAAGAAAACAAAAATACCTAGATTTAGAAGACAGAGAAAAATTCCGAAGAAGAATGTCGTTTCCATGAAATAATTCTTGTATAACTTCTTCGGCATGAACAGTACTTCCTATAACAACTTTGATGAACGAATAAAAATGAACATATACATAGTATATTTTATAAAACCTCAGGTTGCACTAAGTATATCCAACAATGTTTTTAAGTTCAGATAGATAAGAATTTTTATTTGTAACTTGTACTTGATGCTCATAGCATGTTAAATACATTACATGATCTTGCATTTCTATCATAATTAAAGTTGCACCAAAGTGTGTCAGTATAGATCATCGAACAGCAATTTCTCTTCCGGGACGGGTTTTGTCAAACGCGCTGTTTCGGATCATCCCTGTACTATTTAAAAAAAATGAAGTATATTTCGTGTACATTTTTTGTAAATAATTTGACATTTATGTAGTCTTCAAATTCATTTATCCAAACCTTTGTTTGAAAAATAAATGGGTAATATTCTCTGCCGAACTTGAAATTTAAAACACTGATAAATGTGTGCAATAGAAAAGAAGGTGTTTTTTTTTAATTGAATTGATTTGTAATATCTATTATAAAGTACTGTTATAAATGTTAAGATAGAGTAACAATGTGCATCACGTCATTAAAAGATGATTGCTTTATTTTGTGCTTTATCGGCATTGAGTGCAGAACATATAGTATATTAAAAATGTAACTACAAAAACATTGCTGGATGGTAAGTTCACGAGAACTACGAGATAAAGTAAGCATCATTTTCAAGAGAAATGTTGATGTTGAAATTTTATATTAAAGCAACACTTCATAACATAATTAATTCTATTAAGTTGCATACAATTTCAATGGAACAGAATAGAAATAATTGAAATTATAGAAATCAAAAAGATTATATGGAGAAATTGTCGTAAAGAGAAAATGTTGATCTTAGCCATCCCACGAGCTTATATTCAAGAAAATCGGCTCATTGGTTAATCATTTGAATATCTTTTGGAGTGCGGGGCAAAACCCTAAGAGCTTCTCCGTGCGGGGCAAAATCCTAAGACTTCTCCGTGCGGGGCAAAATCCTAAGAGCTTCTCTGTGCGGGGCAAAATCCTAAGAGCTTCTGTGTGCGGGGCAAAATCCTAAGAGCTTCTCCGTGCGGGGCAAAATCCTAAGAGCTTCTCTGTGCGGGGCAAAATCCTAAGAGCTTCTCCGTGCGGGGCAAAATCCTAAGAGCTTCTCCGTGCGGGGCAAAATCCTAAGAGCTTCTCTGTGCGGGGCAAAATCCTAAGAGCTTCTCCGTGCGGGGCAAAATCCTAAGAGCTTCTCTGTGCGGGGGCAAAATACTAAGAGCTTCTCCGTGCGGGGCAAAATCCTAAGAGCTTCTCCGTCATAATATAGGTACAGTTAAGTGACTGGTACAGCCATAAAAAGAAATGCTCCAACCTTTTCATCGAGTCATTGTTTACCAAAACTACTGCTACATAAGATACATGTTAAGCAAGTATGAAAGTACGAGGAAATCCAAAATAGGTTACAGCCTATATGGAGAGGTACTCGGCGACCAACGAGCGGTATTTCATTCTGATTCTCTCATATACAAATGGAAGACAATTAGTTGCACATTTTCAGCAGAAACTTTAGAAGTTATGGATCAACTTACGATACGTGTAGGATATGATTATAGGACCACGTGTTTTTGGAAAAACAGGTTCTTTCGTAAATGTTAACGGTATAAGCGGACCATAAACCAGAGGTTATTAATAATATTTTGTTTCAAACAGGTGCCTATCCTGATAGAAATGAACACAAAAGAGGAACCTTACTAAATTTTAATAGTTCGCAAATATTTTTATTATGAATGTGAAATAATAAACGTTTCGGATAAAGAAGACATTTGGTCAGAGGTTCTTGTAGAAGGGACATATATTATTATTGTTCTGTTATTTTAAACACATGACTATCATAACAAAAGAGAACAATGTCTAACAATTCAACAAATTTGTATATATTATCAAAAATGTGACTGATAATTGTTTACTAGTATATTATGTAATAATAAACATTTCTAATAAAATTAGAACATTTGTTACTTTTTCTACCTATTCGAAATGCCACACATCTGCAGATATGAAATCTTATTTAAAGTGATGTTTAAGGAAAGAAAAAAAGTTTCAGTTTACTTTTAAAATTAGACTTATATGAAAATCTAAAAGGTAATATTGTGACCCAGTACGTGTAGAAATATTAATAAATACACCGTATATAATACGTATCACAATTTCATTACTTCAAACAATTCACACTTTTTCACATATATAATTGTAAATTTTTTCTGTACATTCATGGTCATGCCACTTGTAGCTCTGGTCTGTGTGTCTGGAGTCTTTGTGCATGCTCACACAGACCCTGTTATGTGTTTCTTTATTATCAGGATGGTCTGAATCCCAGTCCGCCTCGGTGGCATTCAACGGGGTGTGGTTCAGCCATTCAAATCTATCAGAGATCCTTTCAGCCCCTATCCAGTAGCCTTCTTTATGATAGTCGTCTGAAATAATAAGACCAACACGTGCGTACAATAATACCAGTTGTCAACAATAGAGCCAATTAATAAGTGCAAACCGAAGCACTCATGACTTAATGTGAAAGCTTGTGACTGCAAGAGCAGTTCATCTTAGATAAGCTTCCGACAGTTATCTTAGCATTTAAGTGTTAACCTATACAAAGTGTACAAGGTGCCTATACCACGTGGCATTTTGTGATAAGCGCGGAACAGAGAATCGATAGATTCATTTCTTTTTTAAATATTTCATTATTGTCAATGCGATCAAGTGAAGTGCTCATTGTAGTTAAAAAACCTATATTTAAAATGTTGTTGTTTATTTAGACATAAACAGTATATTTGGACAATCAGAAATTCACGTTGCTTCATTTTCTGTCAAAAAATGAAGAAAAAAAAACAATTTAGGTTTTATCTTAAAACAGCTTCGAACATAAACTCAGGCTGTTTTTGTTTCATTCTTCTTATTATTATTTTCATGGGCAGAAACGGGTAGTATTTGCAATCATAGTGTCGGTCCTTCATGGTCACTGAACAATATAAGTACTTCCAGCGCTTTGATTATAATTACTGAGAGAAAAAACACCACAAAAAACTCTTTACTCGTTCCGCGAATTTGTGCGTGACTTTAATCATATGTGGTAAATAAAATGGGCTGAGAAGTACGAGAGTACATAATGAGACTACGCACGTGAGTGATTTGCGAGGAAACCTCTGAGCAGCAGGGCTTTAGAATGACTGTCAAGGACGACAAGGTTGTCTCCTGCGTTCTGGCAGCTTGTTTGTGCTCTATCCCAGTGCTTATGATCACTGTTCACAATGTGAACACATAACTCTGCCTCGGAGTTTTGTAAATATATATACTTATCATCGTTTTGACAACGTTTGGTCAGTGGCAGTGCAGTTGATGTAGGTGGAGTCACTGTTGTTACTTTAGATGCTGGAATAAATGTGTGCATTCATATGGTGTTAGGAATCCTATGAATGAATTATCTATCAGTTTCTCTACTTGTAAAAGGATTGGTAAGCGAACAACATGGATCCTGATCAGACTGCGCAGATGCGCAGGCTGGTCTGGATCCATGCTGGTCGCAAACCCATTATGTTAGTTTTGTCGTGACGCGGCTCATATATATTATGCATAGAATGATAGCTTTTTAACAAATAAACAAATACCAAAATGAAATATGTGCACACACTTGTAAGTATGAAAGAGATACAGGATATAACATAGGGGTTATTGTCGTCCTTCTTAATACGTCCCTCATGTATTTTTTATTATACTAGACACTACCCATTCAAGTACGTTACCCGAAAATACATGAAATGTTTGGTCATTTGGTCATAACTATAATAGTACTTTGCCCGAATGACTAAAGAAAGCTTTGATATTTGTAAAAAAAAAAGTTGTATTACTGTAATATGGTGTAGCAGTAGAAGTGCTATTTTCTAACGGTAATGCACATTTGTCATTACAGAAGTCCTCTGTGCAGCAGTTTGGTATACATCTGTTACTTCCGACCGTATGCGACAATGTTTCACAATCCTAAAATTATAATATATCGATTTTACCTATCGTACAAACGTGAAAAATATAAACAACGACTTATTTACAATAATAATCGGCGGTGGGTCGTGGCAAACGTGTTTTAACCGTTGTTCCATATCTGTCCGACAAGTACCGGGGACAATATGGCAAATAGACAGTATTGTTACCGGATGTCAAGGTGAAAATAAGCAGTCTATGGCCGAAATAAAAGTTTAAAAAATAATGAAGATTCCCCCGAGATCAATGACAACAAATAAAAAAGTGAGGATTGCAGACTTGAGTTTTTTAAATAGGTTCCTGAAAGATGCAATGGAAAGTGCAATACTTTCCATGCAACCTAGCACAGCTCGTAACAATTGCTTTCGGGCATTGAGTTAAATGGTCATTTTTCTCCCGCAGCTGATTTAGAAATCATGTGGAATAAGTAGTCGGTCCCTTGCGGAGAAATTTGTAGTTAGTGGTTAGTTGGTTAGTTATCCAGGAGAGCCGGTAAGGTGGATCAACCACCCAGATATGACCAAAACATGTGTTAAAAATCGGCGTAAAAAACAGACCAACAAACATGACAAACAAACATAACCAAACAATATTCATTTTGTTTTAAATGAAACAATTCTAATCAAAGACAGTATATAGTTTTTCTGTTAATTAATATTTCCGTTTTAAAAATCCAAAAGGACAGGCAGAAAACTGTACAATAGCAAGTATAGATACCGATTGCTTTCCGCACGAACTCGTGTAGATCGTGTGAGGCAGGCCAGCGAAGTTATCCGGTGAGTGGAACAAGCATACCTAAAGTATATGACAGGCAATTAATGTTTGATTAAATAATGTATTAGGCTAATGGATTTGTAAATCGGCTTATCCTAATGTCTGAACAAAAATAGCTTAAACATGAAATGGTTCTGTTCA